GGGTGGTAAGGGAGGGGGTGGGGGCAGGGGGGAGAAATGAACCAAGCCTTGTATGCACATATGAATAATAAAAGAAAAATGAAAAAAAAAATGTGCCTCCAGATATGGTTTGCCAGTATTTATTTAAGGACTTTGTGTGTGTGTGTGTGTGTGTGTGTGTGTGTGTTGGGGGGGTGGGGCTGGGATTTGAACTCAGGGCTTTGTGCTTACAAAGCAGGCTCTCTAATCTTTCGAGCCACACTTCTAGTCCGTTTTGCTGTGGTTATGTTGGAGATGGGGGGGGGTCTCATAAACTGCTCCAGGCTAGCCTCAAACTGCAGTCCTGCCATTTTCAGCTTCTCAGTAGCTGGGATTACAGACGTGACCCACCTGCACCTGGCTTATTTGAGGATTTTTGCATATATATTCGTAAAAAACATTCACCTGCAGTTTTCTTTTTTGCAGTCTTCATTGTTGGCATTGGAATTTTGCCTTATAGAATTGAGTTTGGAAGTGTTTTCTCCTCTTCAGGTTTTTGGAAGCATTTGAAGAAACTTGATACTAATTTTTTTTTAAATCTCTAGCAATGAAACTAAGGCAACCTGGATTTTTATTGTGGATATTGACTACTTTATAAATCTCTACAATGTAGATGTGTTCAGATTTTCCATTCCTTCATGACTCGATCTCAGTACATTGTATGTTTCTGTCAAATTTTCTTACTTATGTATTTGGAGATATATTCTTGCTCTGTTGTTCAGGCTGGCCTCAAAATGCTGGACTTAAGTGATCAGAGTAGCTGGGACCATAGGTCTACACTACCACACCTGACTGACTTCTACTCTCTTCTTCTACTTGACATGACACATACAAATAAGGTGCAAAGAAAAGAAGGACTACTCTTTTTTGGTGATGAAAGCAAACTGCAACCATTTAAACCCCTGATAATAGTGAATTCTCTCTGGCCTCCTATCTATCCTCAGTAAAAATTAAGGCCAGGTTTCTCTGCTTGCTTCTTCAAGCATTGCAGACCACCTTGACAGGCCAGCCTTACTCTCCCCACAGATGTCAATTTCATAAATATTAATTTCCTTCCATCTCAAAACCACAGCTTTTCAGGTGACCATAACAGAAGGTGCTGTGAGCAGGCTGTCCTGACACCTGCTGTTGCTGGCTGAAGAGATAGCATTTCCAGCTTTGTTAATGTGTTTCCTTTTCAAATGTGTAAATTAAACTGAGGTTACCATATTATAAACAACCATATTCAAACTATCCTTTCCAACCTTGATTAATTTTTTAGCTTTTTTATGATCATGAAATATAGTCATAAAAGGATGAATAAAGTCTTTGTTGTAGACTTTAGTAACAAAAATAGGAATGTCCTTGAAATTACCAAGATTCACAACTGGGCTTGGTTACTCCTTGAAGTTTTCAGATAGTTCATTCCTGGACTCATCTTCATCTTGTCTCTTTGATCACCACTGTCACCATTCAGAGGCAATGTTTCATATCTTTACCATCTCCTATGTTTAATAAAGAACAGTGTTCTTTAGTTTTTCCTCCTTTGACTTTTCAATAAATGAATATTGATGTAATTGAAATTAAGGAATTTATTAGTGGTTTTTGTTGCATTAGTGCATTTCATACATACTAGTGTTTGAGGCTGTGGGCAATCTAGATCACTCATTTGTTCCACTGAGAATAGTATTTGGGCTTTCTCAAATTGATTTTTTTTTGCTCTAGGAAATGTACAAATGCACAATAAATTCTGTGAACATTACAGAGTATTTAGTGGGCTATAGATCAAGGTAAAGTTGAATTTGTAGGAAATAGCAGTGTATTATCTCAACTTTTTAGCATGGTCATCCCTGCTTGAGATTCCCTAATTGACTAACCTTTATTCTTATAACTTTGTAATTTGTTCCACAACTCTATAATTAATACCTGTTTTGTCATTAATTAACTTTTCTTGTAAATGCCAGCCAGTGGAAGACTTTTTCTCTCAAACTGTTCGTATCTTTGCTCATACTGTTCTGCTGGATTATTAGTTATCTTTTTGGCGGTACTGGAGTTTTAACTTGGGGGCTTCACGCTTGATAGACACTCTACTACTAAAACCACTCTGCCAGCCCTGTTTTTGTGTTGGGTATTTTCAAGATAGGGTTTCAAGAATTTTTCCCAGGCTGGCCTCAAACTGAAATCCTCCTGATTTGTGCCTTCTGAGTAGCTAGGATTACAGGCATGAGCCATCAGAGCCTGGCTCTTGGATTATTATAATTTGAAAGTCCCCAATATACAAGCATGTGTCACTTCATAGGGATACATTCGTATCATGGCATAAGCATCATAGTGTACTTACACAAACCTAGATGGTGTTGCCTGTTACTCATATGGACTATATAATATAGTCCATTTTTCCTATGCTACATATTTTCACAATATGTTACTTTATCAATACAGAAGACAACAATGCATTCCATTTGTACCAGAATTACAAACATCCCTTTCCCTTTAGACCACCTTTGCATATACGGTTCCTTGTTGACCAAAATATTGACTAAAACATCATTATGTAACCCATGACTGTATGTTAGGCAGTCTCAGTCCTTTGTTCAGCAGACTTTGACTATTATTAGATATTAATTATTCTTGTCAGGTTTGGAAAGTCAGTTCTGTTGACTACATAAGTCTGTTTTGATGGTGGACAACCTGCCTAACTAGTGCAAATCCTGAGTTCAAAACCCAGTAATGCTTTGAGATTTTGGAGATTTATGAAATTTTGTAAGGATATCATTTAGTAGAAGTGGTGACATTGAGTTGTTTCTAAGAACATATAGCATCTTTCTTCTTATCTCTTTGTCTTTGATACTGACCAATAGAACATTTCAAATTGTTCTTTTTCTTAATCATCTGTCTTGTTTACTACTTGGTTAAATTTGGTGTGGACTAAACTGTGTTCTGTTGGTGTGGTCATTCTGGATGGACTCAATTCCCCAGTTAACAAATTATAATGTCCTGCATGAAATTTTTGTATCAGAGAAGATCATTAGATCTTCTCACAATTAGAGATTGTGCTCATGGTGTTGGGGCAGATCGGCACTAGTATAAAATGCAACATATAATAGCCTTTCAGAAGGAAAACAGTTCTTGGTGCCAGGGGCTCACACCTGTAATCCTAGCTACTCAGGAGGCAGGTATCGGGAGAATCACAGTTTGAAGCTAATTCTGGCAAGTAATCATGAGACCCTATCTTGAAAAAAATCCATCACAAAAAAGGGCTGGTGGAGTGGCTTAAGGTGTAGGCTCTGAGTTCAAACCCCAGTACCACAAAAAAAAAAAAGAAAAGAAAACAGTTCAGTAAATATCATATTGTTTTCATGAACTCTTTAGGTACTGTTAGTCATTCTTAACACTTAGGTTTGTGGGATCCTTCCCAAATCCTGTCCAACAGCAGGCAGTATTAAGGATGAGTACTCTCTTTGCACAATAGATAATAGGACTTTGTTGTGACATGTGTTAGAGATGTACTCTATAATAGACATTAAGCGTGACCTAGGACTACATCTTATTCCCTGAACTCACTAATGACAAGGGTGTTTTTATTCTGCTTTTATGTTGCCTTTTGTAGTAGCTCAGTTCTGTCAGCACAGCTGTATATGAGCTAATGAGTGCAGAGAGAAAATAAAACTTTACATGACCAAACCATGGAATAAATATTTTGAGACCACACAATCATGTGAACATCTTATGTATATGAAGTCCCAGTGCTATTGATTTCACCCAGCCTCCACACTGTACATATGTGGGCTGTTTTAGAACAGTTTTAGAATTCAGTGGCCTTGGAGGATGTGGCTATACACTTCACCCAGGAGGAGTGGGATTTGCTGGATCTTTCCCAGAAGAATCTCTACAAAGATGTTATGCAGGAAGTCTTCAGGAACTTGACTTCTATAGGTAAGAATGACAACATTTCTTTCCTTAATCCAGTAAACAGGTTGGTTTTTTGGTCATCAGCTTGGAATGTGGGAAGGTAATATTTTGTGAGAAAACCATGCCTGATTGCAGTTTACAGTGCAGCTCAAATCTAGTAATTGTTTGAAGTTCGTAATAATTTGTAATTATTTTTCTGGGTTCTATGTTTTTAGGAAACAAGTGGGAAGAAAATAACATTGAAGATCAGAACAAAAATCCTGAGAGAGCTCTAAGGTAATTTGTTTTCACAAGAGAAAGCAATGTTCCAGAAATTTAGTATGTCATGTAATTTTTAAAACAAGCAAACCAAACAAGCACAACTATAAATATATTTATTCTTAGCAATTTTTCATCAGAAAACATATACTTGAATGTAACATAGATATTCAATGTTTTCAAAGTACTTGACTTCTACATAGTACAAAAAAAACTACATCTGTGGGTGTCATTTCTAGTATTCATATATGAAAATAGCTCTGAGGAAGCCATGTTACAAAATAATCCATCCATTTCCTTTCAAACAGTTGAGACATGTCAGAAAACCTGCAGTTTCCCTGATACTAGTTATACTGTAAATCCAAGAACTATTAATGAAACTAATTACTGACCATTAATAATATGCTTGCATCTTTGTACAGAAGTCATAGAGTTGGCAGACTCTGTAAAAGTCAGTATGGACAAATTTCCAATGAGATTTCAATTTTAATCTGAAAAAGAAAATTCCTAGTGTCTTCATATGTTTTTTTTTTTTTCTGGCATAGAGGTAAGAAAGTTTATTAAGGGAAAGAATGAATGCCTCTGCAGGAAGGGCAGGGTCCTGAGTGGGTTGCCAGAGAAGTGATGCAGTCTAAGGTTTTTATCCATATTCTCCAGAGTGTTGCTCAGTCTCTATGCTAATTAGGTGTGCTGTCATTCATTTTTTGATAGGCACATTACAACTTACTCTGGACACAACCCATTTGAGAGTGAAGACTGTGCAGAGAATCCCTATGAACGTTACCAACACAGGAAATCCTTCATTCCTCTCACAAGTGGTCAAAGACACATGATAATGGACACTAGAAATGAACCTTATAAATGTATGATATGTGGGAAAGGATTTTATTTTCCCAGTGTATTCAGAGTACATCTAAGAACTCATACTGGAGAGAAGCCCTATGAGTGTAAACAATGTGGCAAAGCCTTCAGTTGTTCTAGCTCCATTAGAAAACATGAAAGAACTCATACTGGAGAAAGGCCCTATGAATGTAAACAGTGTGGTAAAGCCTTCAATTGTTCCAGTTCCATTAGAAAACATGAACTCATACTGGAGAAAGGCCCTATGAATATAAACAGTGTGGTAAAGCCTTCAATTGTTCCAGTTCCATTAGAAAACATGAATGAACTCATACTGGAGAAAGGCCCTATGAATGTAAACAGTGTGGTAAGGCCTTTAATTGTTCTGGTTATGTTCAAATACATGAAAGAACTCATACTGGAGAGAAGCACTATGAGTGTAAACAATGTGGTAAGGCCTTCAATTGTTCCAGTTCCATAAGAAAACATGAACAAACTCATAGTGGAGAGAAACCCTATGAATGTAAACAGTGTGGTAAAGCCTTCTTTTCTCTTACAAGTGTTTGAACTCATATGATAAAACACACTGGAAATGGACCTTTTAAGTGTAAGATATGTGGGAAAGCTTTTCCTTTTTCCAGTGTATTTAGAAGACATCAAAGATCTCATGCTGGAGAGAAGCCCTATGAATGTAAACAATGTGGTAAATGGTTTAGTTCTTCTGCTTCCCTTCAAATACATGAAAGAGCTCATAATGGGGAGAAGCCCTATGAATGTAAACCATGTGGTAAGTGGTTTAGTTCTTCCAGTTCGTGTCAGATCCATGTAAGGATACATACTGGAGAGAAGCCTTGTGAATGTAAACAATATGGTAAAGCCTTCAGCCATTCCACTTCCATTTGAAAACATAAACAAACTCATACTGGGGAAAACCCTATGAATATGAATAATGTGGTAAACCCTTTATTTCTTCCAGTTTAATTTGTAAACGTAAAATAATCCATATTGGAAAGAAGCCCTATGAATTTAAACAATGTTCTAACACTTTCATTCCTCTCGTAAGTGTTCAGATACACTTATAAAATAAGCACATGAGACCTTTTAAGTGTAAGGTATATGGGAAAGCCTTTCACTTTCCCAGTGTACTTAAACAACATTGAAGAGCTAAAACTGGGGAGAAGCCTTAGGAATGTAAACAGTGTAGTAAAGCCTTTACTTCTTCCAGGTACCTTCAAAACCATGGAAGAACTCACACTGGAGGAAAGCCCTATTAGTGAAAACAATAGGAAATTCCATTATTATAGTTTCCTATGGAAACATGAAAGAAATTGTATTGGAGAAAACCTCTTTAAATGCAAAAATGTGGTAAATCATTTAGTTTTCCCAGTTGCCTTTAAAAACACAGAAGTGTTCACATTGGAAAACAAAACTATATGGATTATGATGTTTCAGTTCCCTTTTATAAATATGAAAGTATTCACAGTGGAGAGAAGCACTGTGAGGTAAGGAAAACATTTAGTTTTCCTGCTTTCTTTAAAGATCCTAAAAAAGAGTCACACTAGATAAGAACCCTGTGCTTATAAGTATGGTAAAGTCTTCAGATGTTCTAGTTCTCTTCCATTATGTAAAACGCTATGAGAAAGAAATGTGGGAAAGTGTTTAATTTTTCCAGTTTCCTTCGAAGACTTGAAAGGAGTCAAAATATGATGGCTTTTAAAAATGTGGCAAAACTTTAAATTTTTACAGTTCTTCCAGCATGGAAGGACTTACTGTGGAGAAAAAGCCTTATGAACATAAGAAATGGGGTAAGCATTTCAGTTTTTCCATTTCCATTCAAAGAACTCAATCTTGAAGAAAAAACTATGAGTGTACAAAAAGTGGCTATACCTTCATTTCTCTCATATATATTCCAAAATGTATTACAGTGCACACTGGAAATAGACATGTTTATTATGTGACTTTCAGATGTGAGAACAACATTGATTTTCTGGGTTAAATCATATAGTGTAATCTCTTTTTACATTGCTCGATTCAATTTTCTAATATTTTATTGAGGCTTTTTGCATCTGTATTCAAACAGATTTTGTACCTTAATATATATTGTACTAGTATATCTAGTATTATCTAGTATATCTAATACATTAGCATGTATCTAATACTAGTGTGATGTATGTATTACATGTATGTGTAATATGTAGTATACAGTATAGTTTTGTACATAAGTAGTAGATATATATAATTAGTTTATATAATAAGTAATTAAAATATATATAATCACCATCATACTATATAGTATTTTATAGCATTATACTATAGTATTTAAATGTTATCAGTCTGTATTATAACATGTTTCAGTTTCCTCTCAGCCCGAAGAATTATTCAAACCAATCACATCATTTTATGGGACTGAAGGAGCATCTCACATTCTCCTTATTGCAAAGCCCTCCCCGCTATGCCCACTGTTCTGCTTCTAAGTATACTCCTTCTGTGGGCCTACAATAGCATGCAGTGTCCTCTTCCACCTGACTATAAGTATATATAATAAATTGCTGTAAGTCTTATCTGTTCATTGGTGGGTCTAATGTGACTGACTTTCCCAGTGCTAATTCCCCCATTAATCAATGGAGTAAGTGTGATGCTATTGGGATTTTAAGTAACACATAGAATGGAGCAAACACAACTAAAGACATCTGGTCAACTTTAGTTAATTGCTCATAGCTAACTGGTTCCATCACATATTATAAGTCACCTGGAGGAGGTGTGGCTCAAGTGCTAATGCACCTGCTTTGCAAGCACAAAACCATGAGTTCAAATCCCAATCTGACCAAAAGTCACCTAGGTTGGAACCAACAGTTGTTGATGGACTTTGGCTTTGGTCTGCATAGTACATTGTGGGTTTTATATTTTTTACCTGGCATTCCCATCTCTTCCAGTACACTGGATCTACTTAAAGACAAAATATAAAGGCTTAAAGGCCAAGTAGAACAATCAGAAGTCAGACAAATGTAAAGAAAAGAATAAGAAAAGTATAATCAGAACATGGAAGACCTCTGAGATACCATTAAAATATAGAAACTATGAATTATGAACATAAAAGAAGAGATGCAAGCTAAAGGCATTAAAAATTCAATAAAACAATAGAAAATTTCCCAAGTCTTGAAAAAGAGGTGATTATCCAGGTACAGGAGGCACTTAAGACACCAAACAGACAAGACTAGAAAAAGCATATTCCAGTTAAAACATTAAGTATGCAGGGCTGGCAGAGTGGCTCAAGTGGTAGAGTGCCTGCCTAGCAAGTATGAGACCCTGAGTTCTAACCCCAGTACCACCAAGAAAAAATTAAGTATACAGAACAAAGTAAGAATACTGACAGTTGCAAGAGAGAAACACTAAGTCACACATAAAAGCAAACCCATCAGAATAACAGATACCTCAACAGAAACTCCCTAAAGACAGGAGAGAATGAATTGATAGATTTCAAGCCCTGAGGAGGGAGGGGAGAACCCTGCCATTCTAGTGTACCCAGAAAAACTATCTTTCATAATTGAAGAAGAAATAAAAACCTTCTGCCATAAACAAAAACTAAAGAAATTCATGACGCTAAGGCAGAATTGCAAAAAATATGAAAGGAATCCTACACACAGAAGGGAAAGATAAACATCACTAGATGAGTTGATAAGCAAATGAGGACTAGGAAAGAAACATTACAAAAATGAGAATTATTACATGTTTTTTAATAATTCTGAATGTTATTGGTCTTAATTCTCCAATCAAAAGACACAGGCTGGGGCTGGCAAAGTGGCTCAAGTGGTAGAGTGTCTGCCTAGCCAGCGTGAGGCCCTGAGTTCAAGCCCCAGGACCACCAAAAAAAAAATAATAAGCTGGCAGGTTACATTAAAAAAAAAAAAAAAAAGACTTCTGCCCTGCACTGGTGACTCACATCTGTAATCCCAGCTACTTGGGAGGCTGAGATTAGAAGAACTGCAGCTCAAGGCCAGCCTAGGCA